TCCCGGGAGCCCCCATTACCGGATCTCCCGGGCTTCCGGCTCCTCGATTGATGTTACGTCAGACGAGTGTCGAGACAATACAGATTGCAACTATTCGTTCTAGGACCCACACACAATCAGCTGATGGCTGAGTGATGAGGCGGTTTTTCTCCCATCATGTTTTTCTCTATTATTCTTTTTGCTGCTGCGATCCCTTATTTAGGTTTCTACCCCAAGATGCCAAAAAAGGTCGGCTATTTTTGCTGGTATTAGAGATTTTTTTGCTAGCTTATGCTCTTGAGTGGATTTCCACTTACCGTAGTCAGCTATTCGCACCAGTACCCACATGTACACAATGACACACATTCTATAGCTCCTCCAAACGTCCCACTCTTCTTCATTTTCCTGGTCTTCACTCCGTCCAGCCTCTTTTCAATTATTTTTCGAAGCCTGTTTTCACCTCAGAAACACCGATTCACGCAGTTTCTTCGCCTTCATTGCCCTATTTTCCATCTTATCTTTTATTTTTCGTCATAAACTGAATCACCCAAAACTATCATGAACTATGCCTTTAATTGACTCGAACTTTCCTGTGAGAGTGCCGGTTGATTATTGGTTACTACTGCGAGCTGGTTTCCTGCTTTCGTATAGTAGCATCTGGTTCCAACCGTCATAGCAGGAGAGGGAGTCTTTGGTGAGCTTAAGGGAAGGATACGAGGTTGCAGAAACCAATCATGATGAGATGTGTACTGTGAATTGGATCTACAAATTCTGTCCACGATCTCCGCTTAAAATATAAGAAAAGTCTCCTAAAACAAGTTTACAAGATCACTCACTGCACTCGAAATCACTCTGGCAAGTTACTCATCGAATCATGCACGACTTTGCTGCGATATTCTGCCACGTGAGGATGGCTAGTTGCAGCTCCTGAAAACTCGACCACCTCAAGAGCCATGTAAGCAAGGAGCTGCCCAAAGACATTGAGTAACTTAACTTTTGCATTTGTGCCATTACTCCCTCCTCTGACATCTAACTGCCTGCTCATATTCGATCGTCTTTCAAATTGCGATGTTTGCCTTTTAGAGATATGCGCAGACCAGTTTGACCTCTCTTACTATCAAACCAAATGAATTCTCTAGTTTTCCTAGTAATGCTACGCCCTTGACTTGGCGCCTGGGTGGCGAATGTCACGAAAGAGTGTTTTAGAAAATCGAATGACGGTGATTATTCCATTAGAGAACACGTGATGATGGAGAATCCTAGAAGTAATAGTTGATCCCGCGACCGAATCTTCAGAAACTAAAAGACGGTGAATATTTTGATGTAGTAAAGGATAAAGGAAGTAGGGGTGGCACCAATCATTACCGCTTTTGAAATGAAACTCTGCGTTCGATTTCCATTCAGAACCATTAATCAAGACTGCTTGGATGCACTGCCTGCTTGGCCTAGGCGAGTATCGGGATTCAGTAACCCGGACCGTGCATGTGTGATAGTGCGCCACTTGCCACTACATCACATCCACCTTTTGCAGGTGATATG